CGGTTGACATTGATACATTAATCCAGCATCATTTCATACTTTGATTGATAGAATTGCATGACTTGTGCACATATGGGTGAAAAAATTGATACATGTCTTTTGTTTTAGGTGGTTTTGATAAGCGCTTAAAGGAAAATGTTGAGTACTTGGAGGAGCTCAGAAGTTTAGCGGAAAGGGAAGGAGTGTCTAGTCAGGTGTCAGTCAGAAATATGCTTCATCAGAGGCGAAAGAGTGATCGTGAAGCTGTTTCTGAGGATGATTGCCTGCGTGCTATAAGTAAGTTGAAGGTAAATATGATTAGCTTGTCAATGCATTACTTGTACAAGTGTCAGTCAGAAATTGATGTACTTCGATCAGGAAGGCCTTAGACAAGTGATTGGCCCCCAGCCCCAAAAGAATACAAATAAATCTTGTGATCCTATGGTTTCAGTAGAAGAGGTTCACATCCTGAATTTTAGGTGACTAGGCCCAAGGGGCTCGAATTCTTGCCGCATTTTTGCTATGTGACAGAACACTCTGGCTAGTTCTTTTAGGTTGTTAGCCTGGTGATTGCTGGAAGGCCGATTAGGTTTTGTTACCATTGTATATGAGTAGTTGTAGTAGTAGTCCCTTTTGATCTCATGATTGAAACTCTGTATTTTATGATTTATTATGATGCTTTCGACTCTTAAGCATTTCATAAAGTTTGTCTTAAACAGTTCATATTATATCTCTGCAGTAGTTAGTACCATACTATTATGATTGTTGACTAAGTAACAACTGTTGCTTGATTCCAGGTATTGGGTAATGGTTTTGATGTGATTTCTGTTGGAAAGCGAAAGCTTGTTCGTTCTGTTCCGACTGAGTTGAACAAAGACCATAATGAAATTTTAGAGCTAGCCCAGGTTGCAAATTTTTGTTTTATCTTCCTGCTAACTTTGCCAGGAGTACAAATTTCAGCGAACTTATTTGATTTTTACCATCTAGATGGGTTACTTGCGCTTATGTTCCGGTTCTCTTCTCTTAGGCTCAAGGATTTGTGATTGTTGATGAGGTAGAGAGACGGTTATCTTGGACCACTGGCTGTGCAATTGATGCATTCGACACTTTACTAGATGTAAGCTGATGACATTTACTGAACTACTCATACTACGATTGCTGGGGCTCAAGAAACCCTTGCTTTTCTCAGGAGGGTCTTGCAATGATTGATGATGGCCACAAAGATGGTATTCGCCGATAT